ATGACTTGGTGGTGGTAACAGCCTGGAGAATTTTAAAGTAGGTGGGGCAGGGTAAAAAAAAGGGGAAAGTAATTTGATACTGTTTTATCATCATCATTTAATAAAATGGATGTGTATATGAAAGAGTTTTTTTTTTGCGACCACACAAAATAGCTACTCTAGTTTATCACATATTTTAACATCAGACCATCAGTGTCAAAAAGAAAAATGATTTTTATTTGATTTCAAAATGAATTGATAATATAAAGGAAAAGATTTCTCTTACTTTATATATATATTCAGGCCAGTAAATTTTGTTTAATACTGTTTATTATAAACAGAGCATTTACTTAAATATTTGTATCTATAAAAAGAATGTATAAACATAACAATGTCTTAAAATATATATATATAAGTGAACATTGAAGTCAACACTTAGAGGCAACAGGCTGTTTTATGCTAAACGCAATCGTCAGGCCATGTGGCCTGATGATTATGTCTAGCATGAAACAGCTGTCACCTCTAAGTGTTGACTTCAATGTTCACTTTTATATTTACGCATGCTCTATCTCTGATACTGAGCACTTTATTCCATAAATATAGCCCACCTTAACAGTATATTTTTTCATATATATATATATATATATATATATATATATAAGGCAATTTGTAAAATTTCTACTCTGGCATGTTTCACAGATGAACTGGCATCATAAGAAAATTCTTTCCTGTCAACAGTATATCAATGTTCATATATATATATATATATATATATAAATGAACATTGAAGTCAATACCCAGCGACATTCTGTTTCATGCTTATACACAATTGTCAAACCATATGCCTTGTGTTTTGACTAATTATATATACAGGTCAGTGATGCACTGTTGGTAGTCTATTGTATTGTTCTAACAGTTATTTTGGTGGACATTAATGGTTATGTCCTGAATTATTCTGGGGGTTATTGGGTGGAGATAATTGTGGATCAGATGCAGTTCTTTTTGGCTCTTTTTAATGTTGTTTGTTAACTTTTTTAATTAACATTTTTTATTTATCGTTGGTTGTTATTATTATGTTTACTTAATTTATTTATTGATTTGGATTAATCTATTTTACTTATTTTTTTATTTGTTTTATTTAGTCTTGTTTATTTGTTTTATTTATTTATTTTTGTCTGTTTTCAATTTGAAATTAAAATAGGTGTTGACTTCAATGTCTACTTTAAATTTACATATGCTCTATCCCTGATATCGAGCCCTTTAAAGCAAAAATATACTATAAAACTATATTTTATCAAATATATATATATATATATATATATATATATATATATATATGGCAATAAAAGTTTGTGTATTATACTGATTACCTGCCTTGAAGAATGCACCTATATATATATATATATATATATATATATATATACACAAACACACATAAATTTATATGGAAAAATATATACCTGTTCCTCACTGCTCAAGGCTACTGTCAATAAAACTAATATATATCAAAGTTTTATTAAAAACAACTGATGTCTGAATGCTTTCAGCTATTCTGTTACCCATTATCAAGGATGATTTTATTTAAACTTTTAACTGAATGCATGGATTTTTTAATGCATATATCTAACGTTAATTAAGTTGATAATGGCTAAAGGAATAGCTGGAAGCACTTGAACATACAAAACATTTGGACAATTTCTACATAATTTAAGTCCAGAAAAGAAAAAAAAATGATAAAACACAAGAAAAATTTTAATAAAAAACTTAACCACAGTACCTTGTTGGTTGTTTTTTAACAAAAAAAGAGGAATTGCTGCCCAAACTGACCTTAAAAATGTCACTTTTACTATATGTGAATACTGTTCGTAGGATATTGACCGTTGTATTCAAAAAATCAATAATCTGCATTTAATTGTAATTAGATTTCAATAAAAATAATTAACTGTTGTGTGTGTATATATGTATTTCCAATTTTTGCTTGCTACATTCACTTTCACACAAATACACTTGGAAAAGATATGAATCCATCTCTTCTCCCTTCAGTTTTGGGTTAAATAGTGAGGCAGACTGAGCTCTTTAGCCTTAGTTAGCAACCCATCTAGGAGAAGGAAAACTCTGAATTCAGAGGCTGCACCAGTTCTCTGTATTCAGTTCTTTTGAAAAATGTGCATAATTCTGCACAAAGCTGCATCATCATAATCAAATCATATGTGCTGGGCAGCCTGGCTTTTCAATTCTAGGAGCTAGACTTTTGGACACTCATACATTGAAGATAACAGGTGATGACACACACACATTATATATATATATATATATATATATATATATATATATATATATATATATATAGTGGTCACTGCGGTCAAAAACAAATGGCAACAGTTTGTTTCATGCTTAAACACAATCTTCAGGCCTTCATTTGCATACACTTTATCTCTGATATTGAGCACTTTTACTCATACATATAGCACACCTTAAAACTATATTTTTATCACACACATATATATATATATATATATATATATATATATATATATATTTTTGTTGAACAATAATAAGGTCTGTCAGTCCAATTATTTTGTAAGTTTCTCCAACTTCCAACTACGAGAAAATTAATAAAAAGATATTGTTGATACTGTTCAACAAAACTTGTTTAAAAGAAATGTACTCTTAAGGTGTGCTATATTTATGGGATAAAGTGCTCAATATCAGAGATAGAGCATGTGTAAATATAAGAGTGAACATTGAAGTCAACACTCAGAGGCAACAGGCTGTTTCATGCTAGACGTAATTGTCGGCCTGACAATTGCATCTAGCATGAAACAGCCTGTCGCCTCTGAGTGTTGACTTCAATGTTCACTTTAATTTATTTATATATATATATATATATATATATATATAGGATAAAAGAAGTTCAGTAATATAGTTAATTAAAGTAAACAAAACTTTATAAGGGAAATAACATTTGAATGCAATGTTCAAAATGAAATTAATGTTCACAATACTCATTGGAGGTCGACTCAAGTCTTTTGTGATTTCTCACTCATCAGGACCCAGTCAACCTCCGATCCATATGATGAACTTTAATTATTTTTGTCCTAGATAGCTATTGAGCACTTTATTAGCAGAAATCCTGTCTGCTTTGATGTATGTTCATTTTATGTATATCAATATATCCAATTACTATTATTATTATTATTATTTTAGTTTAATGTTCAAGTTATAGTGTAATGATATTAACTCAACTTGAATTCATATCGCAGTTTTAAAAGATTGGTGGAAAAACATCAAGCCGTTAATTTGTCTTCTTTAATAAAATGATAACTTATATCTTCATCAACAGGAGAGGGTTTGAATTGTCTTATAAAACAAAAAATGATGATGATGATGATGATAATAAAAACAAGCATGTCAGGGTAGGAACATAAAATGGGAACTGTGCAACTGGTTTTGGTTCAACCATATAGACAAATGGTATGAACACAAATCAAGCATTGTACTGAAGAAAAAAAATCATAAAAAAATATTCTGGGATTTTGATATTAACCACAGAGAATATGTGATCTAATAAGTCTTGAATAAAAAAAAAATGAAAAAGGGGGTCTGACAGATTATGGACGTGGCTGTACCAGCAGACCACCAAATGAACATGAAGAAAATTAAAAAAAAAAAAAAAAAATGGGACCTGGCCTGGGAACTGAGAAAGACTTGGAATATGAAGGTTAGAATTGTACCATTGGGAACTGGAAAAAAATGAATTTAGAATTGTGATTAAATTAGAAATTCAAGGAAGAGTAGCCGCCACAGTGTTGGGGTCTGCAAAGACACCGAGAAGGATGCTGGAGGTTTGAGGAGACTTGCTGTAACTCAATATTTAATAATCACCACCAGACATCTTGTGAGAATAAGCAAATGTATGAGTAATTATAGTAATAATGAGAATGCTACATTGTTTTTTTTTATTTTGTTTTTTTTTTGCCTCTGATCATCGGTTTATTTTGTATTTTCTTTGTTTTATTTTCTTGTTCTGCAATTTCCTTCCATTGTTTTTCTGTCTTTTGTTTTTTCATGCAGCATCAATAAACAGTTCCCTAGATATCTTTACTCGTTCCCCTGCGCTAAATAAGTTATCACATTTTTCCTTTGCCTGTTTTATTTTGCCTTCAAGATTTTGCCTGGTGGTGCAAGGGCTCTGTGGTAAAATGATCCTCTCTTTCAAAAGCCCACTTGTCACCCAACTTTCTTGTTTCTGTTTTTGCTTTTATCTTCAATATCCTTTACCAATTTTAAACAGGTTTTTTCTGTCTGAATTTCTGACATGGCAAGTTACCATTATTTACGTGCAGACTATTGTCCTCATCTTTGTTGTTGTTATCACAATGTTTCAGCCATTTTACCCTTAGGCCTTCATCAGGTACTTGGACGCAGTGGAAAGGAGTGAGCAATAACTGAACAGAACTAAATAAGAACTAGACAAGATATCCCTAGACATGGTCAGTGGAATGAAAGTGAAATAGCCACAGTGCTCAGTTTGAAAGTTTCTGAAGGTTACCCAGATCGCCAAGCACTTGATGAAGGCCAGAGGGCACAATGGCTGAAATGTTTTGATGATAGCAACAAAGATGAGGACAATAGTCCGCTCGTAATTAATGTAAATAATTTTTTGTCTCTTTTAGTCAATTTTTGCATATTTGAATTCTGTCATTTTTGTCTTTTTTTTTCCATTTTAGATAGCTTTTTTTTCTTTTTTTCTTTTTTTTTACATCTTTGGTTAATGCAAGGTGTTACAAGCCTCGTCATTTTAAATGCCTATCGGCACTTTTTCTTTTTTTTCTTTCTCTCACCTGTTATGAACAAAACCTGACAAATTTTTCTTTTGGTCATCTTCTGATCACTCAACAAAGACACTTATCCTTGAATTTATGACTGTATCTGCCTTTTTTATATGCCATGTCCCTTCAGGATGCGAGCGATCATGGCTCTTCACAACTTCCTATCCTTTGTAGCTCTTATTAAGTTTATCACTGCATCAGTGCCTGTATATTATGCACCGCTTCCTGGCTCTCACACTTCCTTTGCCCAATACTGTACGATGGGATGCTAAGGGTGTTGGCCCAACCGGATGTCCAGGTAGAAGTCATCGGGGCAGGTGGACGCTTCCAGTTATAGTTGTTTTGGGCCGCAGCAGCAGCAGCAACCATCATCTGATTATGGGTACAGGTGGTGGTCATCGATGTAGGATTCAGAGTGGCAGGGGGCGGCTGAGGAAGGCAGGGCAGATGAGTGGGCATCCTCTGGAGGTGATGTGAACAAGGTGTGGTGCCTGGGGTCACAGAGGTCACTGGTGCAGAGGCAACCATTGATGCTGTCGAAGAAGGGATGGAAGCGATGCGACCATGCAAAAGGTCATTGCCTGCAGTATGGCAGTGTCCGTGCTTATCGAGGAGGCACCTCTGGGTTGATGACGAGGATGAAGATGAAGATACTGATTGTACTTGATGTGAATGTTGATGCTGGTGTTGATGCTGATGCTGATGTTGATGGGGCTGTTGTGGTGGTTGCTGTTGAGGTGGTTGTTGTTGGGGCGGTTGTGGGACTTGTGGAATCTGTGTTGTGCAATAGTCCTTCTCGCATTTAGCTACTTTCATTCCAGAAATACTGTTAGCTCCAGCTCCGCCACCACCACCAACACCACCACCACCACCACCACTACTGTTGCCACTTGGATTGGTGCTACCTGCACTGCTACTTGGGTTTGATCCTCCGGCAGCATGGGTCCGCTGATGGAGCTTTAGCTTGTCGTTACGAGAAAAGGCTCTACAACAAATATTGCAGTTGTATGGTTTCTGGCCCGAGTGGGTGAATTCATGAATTTTCAACTTGTCCTTGCGTGAAAAAGACTTGGGACACATTGAACAACTAAAAGGCTTCTCCCCGCTGTGGGTGAACTCGTGGATTTTCATCTTGTCCTTGCGGGCAAAAGCTTTTTGGCAAATCCCGCAGGTAAATGGCTTCTCACCGGTGTGCGACCGCTCATGGATTTTAAGCTTGTCGTTGCGCGAGAAACATCGCCTGCAGACTGGACACTCGAACGGCTTCTCCCCCGTGTGGGATCGCTGGTGCAACTTGAGTTTATCATTACGTGAAAAACCCCGTCTGCATATCATGCACTGGAACGGCCTCTCCCCAGTGTGGGAGCGAGCGTGAATTTTCAGCTTGTCATTTCTTGAAAAGGCCTTCTGACAGACGTTGCACTCAAACGGTTTGCCGCCTGTGTGGGTTAACTGATGGATCTTGAGTTTGTCCTTCTGAGCGAACGCCATCTCGCACAGCGTGCAAGCGTAAGGTCGCTCCCCGGTGTGAGTGCGTTCATGATTGCGTAGCTTGTCGCGTTCTGGGAACGCCTTGCCACAAAAAACGCACGTGAAATGTTTCCCCTCCTCTGGTGCCATCTCATGTTTCTTCAGATAGGCACGCAGAGCAAAGCGCTTACGGCATACACTGCATTTGTATGGCTTCTTGTCAATGTATCGCTGTTTATAACTCATATACGATGGCGTGATGCCGACTTGGGAGTAGGCAAGGCTACAGGTGTGGTAGTTGTTATGGTTGGCCATTGGCTGGTATTGAACACTGGGATTGGAACACATTGTCCTGTCACTGTTCGATTTTTCTTTTTTTAATGTGTTCAAGGTTTTTTTGGTTGCGTCAATAACCAAAAAATAAAACAGTTTCAACTGAAGAAAAAAAAAATTGGGGCAGGGGGTATCTCAAATTTTTTAAAATCAACAAAGATGAAATTTGTTTCAATTTAAATTTCAAAATCTGTCCTGATTCTTCTTTTAATTTTTTTTCCTCCTAAAAAGTAATTTTCAAATTTTGAAAGTTCGAAAAGAAAATTTACGCCTTCCGTAATTCTCTTTGTTCAAATAAACTGCCAATCATCACAAGCATTAAAGATGTCATTCTGCATCTTCAGTAAACATAATTTTTTTAAAAAAATCTCTTCTAGTAAATGGCATTGCTTGAAAGGGCTAAGCTAACAAAGACAGTGTGGGTCTGTCCATTTCAGCCAGTATATACATTGTCCTTTAAACAACTTTTGACCATATTAGTTAATCCAGTAAAGGCAAACAACCCTACATCACTTCAAGAGTTGTCTCTCATGTTATCCCAGAAATGTTCTTTGCAAAAAAAATTGACAGCATAATAAACTTTAACAAAGAGAAATGACGCTACATCGGCTTCATATATATATATATATATATATATAGATAGATAGATATACTGATGGTCAACCAGTGATTCAGTAGACTAAATCATAAGTAATCTTTAGTTTTGGAGCCAAGCCCTAAGGGGCTGCACAGTATGTGGGGTGCCAAGAGTTGCTTGATTGCATTGACAAGAAGACGGGAGAAACCGGTGTCCCCTACCTCCAGAAGTTTTTTTTTTTTTTGTAGTTGTTTTTTTTTTTTATTTTAAGTTAAGAAAAAAATGGAGGAGGTATGTTTTGTATTGATGTTAATCTCAAGATGTTATTTGCTTAATGAGTCATTATTTTGTTCGGTTCTTTGTTTGTATTTTTTTTTTTTACAGGCTTTTCCGCATGTGAACAGGATGAAAATCTCAAGCAATTCACGTCCGAAAAAAAAAAAAAAAAAGGATTAAAAGAAGTAGAAAAAAAAATAGATGAACAAATTCTGGAGCAATCAAGGAAAAAGATGGGCAGTCAATATAGAGCTTAACTGGGCACTTGTGCCATTTTTTTTTCCCTCTTTTTAATTTTGGTCAGTCATTTATAGTTTTTTTTTTTTAATTCATCATTCTTACAATATTTTAGGTCTTGTTTCTCTTTATAATGGAAAAAAAATCTGGCTTCAGACCCAATCGTAAAACAATTGCTCTTAATATAAGAGAACTAATGTCTTAACAAGGGCCTAAGTTTATTTTTTCTTGTTTTAAACTGTCAAGAAATGAGCCTTGATTTATTACAGACCTCCAGAAATCAATTGGTAGATGATCCAAGATAAAATGCTGATTTTCCAAGCAAAAATATAAAGAAAAATGCTTTTCTTTCTTTTCTTCAGTCAGTGCACCCAAAAAGAACTGTTAGCTCTTGTTACCGGTCAATATTGCCAGGGTTAATCAACAGCTTTTTTTGAAGTGAAAATGTTGCTATAGCATAAAAACAGGTGGACAACTTTTTCAAGTATAATATCAAAAGCTATATTAAGGCTTGGAGACATAAAATGGCTGATGCTTGAAGACAAGTAAAATGTCTGATGCTTGGACAATAGGTCAGAGTCTCATTTTCATTTAGCATAAAAATGCACAGTATTTTTAATTTTTCACATACATACACACATACACACACACAAAAAATGAAAATGTTTACAACCAACAGTAGGACTCCATGTGTGTAACAGCTCACTAAGTGTTAGCTGGAAGGGAAAGAAATATTTCTTTCTTTCACTTGTCTCACTGATGTCTCTGTGTTTTTGTCCAGTTTGAAATATTTTACTTTTTTTTTTTTTTTTGTTTGCTTGACTTGTCTGTGTGTGTGAGAGAGAATGTCTTTTTTCGTAGTCCTTTAAAAACAGCAAGCAAAATATATTACCAAGCGGACCCAGAAGTGGCACCTCTCTTAAATTTTCGCAGAAATATTCACAGAAAATAATAGCTTGAGGCCTGTGTTGTAGTTTTTTGTTTTTTTATCACTAAGTCTTGAGCATAAATACTGTTGTAGCTCATGTGGTGGTGGTGGTGGTGGTGGTGGCAGTAGTGGTCGTCGAAGCAATAGAGTTAATGATGATCACTGAACTAGCAAAATAGCCAAAGTCAAGGGGCTACATTAATTGCGGATTGTAAGATTGACTAGAATATCACCGCACATATTTTCTTTCTTTATTTTTTTTTTTTTTTCATTTTTCAGAAAGTAATTTCATTTTCAGGCTAGTACTGCTGAAATACAATGAGACAGTATTGGATTTTACAAGAACATGGAAACAAAGAAGCAATTATATCCTTAAGATGTGGTGGGCTTTTATAATCCTGACCATTTCAAACAAATGTGAGATCAGTTTTGCTACATTGTAAATTTCATTCCGCTATTGATGGTGGTTGGGAGATGAAAACTTTGACTGCAGACATAGACTTGAGGTTGAGGGTTCAATTCTTGATACCAGCATTTAGGTAAGGAAGATTTGACAAATATATGAACATACTAGTCACAGCATGGGGATGAGTAGATAACTTAAACATTGTTTGATTTTATAAATGTCAAAGAAAAATGGACATATTTATATCACTTGTATATTGTAGATTTTACAAGCAGACAAATATAGTGTAAACAAAGACAAGGAAAATTTCTTGTTGCAATTTTTTTTTTTTTTTTTAAATTTTGAATGAGAGGAGAGATAGCAAGAAGTGAAAGATTTTTAAACAAATAAATTAAAAAAAAAAGTTTTGTTTTAAGATTGTTGAAATTTTTTTCCCCCTTTTCTTTTGATTAAATTTCAGTAACAAAGCCCAAGCCCTTGGAGGGAAATTTCCTTTTCAAATCATGATGTAACATTTATTGCCTATGTATTTAGCGAAGACATTTCCTTTATTTATACATAAAGGCATTTTCGTTCATATAACTATGCCAGCTGAGAGAGGGTCATTGTAGCATGTAAGTGAGAGAGGACTGTATTTAGAGGTTCATTAATTAATGACCCCTGCCTAGTACTGAGAGAGAATCAGTCAACGAAAAGGGTGATACCAGAAACAAATGGTAAAAATAGAAGGTACAGTCTCCAAATAGTGCCACCAAAGGAGAAGCAGTCTGCATCAGTCCCACGTGGAATTGGCTTGAGCAGTAACAAAAGAGGACTGTGAATAACAAGGAAGAAAGAAACAGCAACAGTTTTCAATGACTGCTTTCCTTTTTAGTTGCAAACCATAATACTAATGTGGCTGAACCTCTTTTATGTAAACGTTAGCAGAAGTTCATTTTTATCATATTAAAGGGAGAGAATCCCTGAGAGTTTTCTCTCATTTATGCCTTTGTTTTTTTTATTCAAGTTTACATAATTCCTCTTGATCTTCATAAAGTTACAAAATATGTGCAAGGAGATTTGGCAGTGAAAAAACAATATTGCTTGGGCATCACATTATTATTGTTACTTATTATTAGCAGTATCAGACGATGAAAAAGAAGGGTCCTTTATTTTAGCCTTGGATTGAAGATCAAGGTTAATCTTGAGGTTAATATCTAGTAATGGACCTTGGCACTTGGTAAGGGACATCACTTATCTGAAACCTCACTTTACTGCAATATAAACATTGACCCAAATGTCTTGTACATTTTTTAAAAATATCTCTTTAGTTTTATTCTACACTATGTCTTGTTTTTTTTATATCTTTTTATTTTACTTTTTTTTTTTGGCTTTTTTCAATTTTTTTTTTTTTTTAGTAAGGTAAGGAATAGATTCATCTAAATCAACATGAAAAACCCCAATATGTTAATTTTTCTTTTTTTTTTTTTTTTTTTTTTTTTTTTAAAACAAGGAGTTAGAGAAACAAAAATATCGTCTGCCAACTATAGCTGTGCAGGCAAAGTTGAATATGACCTTGTTTTCTCCTTACAAGTCACTGACTTTTGATTGTGGTCGGATGGAGACTGGTAAGTATGTCACTGGCAGTAGAAACAAGAGAGGCATCAGTTCCTGTGTGTCTGTCTCCAAGATTTGGGGTGGTTAGTTACTGCAAGTCTTGGTACCATTGTGGAATCCTGAAAGACCAAAAAAATAAATGAAAATATCTGATTTCTGGTTCGAAAATATGAACATAGACAACAAGACAGCATCAAACAGCCAGAAGAGTTCCATCAAAAATCACAAAAATAGACAGCAAAGTTTAATGAAAATACCCACAACAAAAGAACATTTTTTTCTCTTAACACTGCTATTAGTGTATACCCCTTTAATAATTGTTATTGTTTTAAAAGGCTATTTTTAAAATTTAAATAAAACTCAAACAGATGATATTGTATTTATGCATTTTCTTTTGTTCTTGAGAACTGACAACAAAGATGTTAAACACTATTTATTTATTAGTTTGTTTACTTACCAGAATAAGTTTATATCTACAAGATTATAAAAATCTACAAACCAATTACAACGCAAGATTTTTAGCTCAAAATTCTAAGTTAGCCCTATACCTACCTTTGGAGGGTCAACCCCCCAAAACATAGGGGAAGCTATCAGTGATTTAAAATAGTGACCCAAAAAGATTTTTTAGGTTTGAAAACTCAATTTGTATGCTGCAAGTTATAGTAATAATAGTTGGATGACCAACATCCCACCACCAACAACACTTGGAAAATTAAAAAAAAAAAAAACTGAGATATAAAATAATCTAAAAAGAAACTGTATAACATCTGGAAAATGCATCTTTTCAAAATTCATAATTACATTTATTTGTCAATACGTGTTTATGCAGTATATTCAAAAGAAAAAACCAACTGGAGATCAATTCGCCAACCCCCTTCCAGATGACATCCACTAGAGGACAAAAGTAAAATTTCATCTGCAGTGTCTTGGAGACAAATCCTCTCCTCCCTGCTGTGTTTTTGAATGATATATCTTTACAAGTCTGCTGGTACAAGTAAATAATTTGAAATTTTGAGTTTTAAAGCAGATTTTACAGTATCCTCACCCATCTTATCCAGGTGGTTACATATATCAAAGAAAAATAAGCATTAGATCCTTGTCAAGTTGTTTTGAAATACTTCATTAGATGAGGTCAAAGTGAGATTATTTGGGTTGAGTTTTCAGTTTTACAGATCATGACAGCTATTAGGGAGATGTGATTAAATATACTTTAATGTTTAAAAAAAAATTTATTCAGTATTATTATTGCTTAGGTAATAAGCATTATAACATAGCACAAATAGCTATGTTGTGGTATATGGTTATTTTTTAACTTTTTTCAAAAACGACATTCTTGTACATGTAGTTATGGATAATATTATACATTAATTACTAATTTTTTTAATTAATAACTATTTGTGCTCAGTTGTTGACATTAATAGCTATCAGCTGATTTGTTAAAATTCTGGAATAATGCAATAATAAAAATTTAAATTTCATCTCTTTGATAGATGTTGTGATCTGTTAGTATTCTTCATTATGTAAGTTGATATTGAACTGTGTGAAATAGAAGAAGGAGGTTAACTTGAGAGAAGATACAGATTTATGAGGTATTATCAGGAAAGCTCTGGGACTTCATTCTATTATTGCACCATTTATTGGAGATATATGCACAGCTTACAGTCATTGGTAATCAACCAACTAAATCAGCCTACCAAGAAGCTTTACGGTAACTTATAATGACCAATTGTTATATTCCATGCTAAAAGGAATATATACTTGAAAAACACGGTGGATAAAATAAGTAAAGGTTTATTTTAAAAACCAATACAATAAGAATAAAGGTACAATTATGCACAAGGTCATCACAAATCAATCCAGTAGTGAGTGCTACCATTGGAAGGTCGGTAGTTCTCGCCTAAGTCTGAGTCATACTCAACAGATCCCCGTTAGTCTCTTTAGTCCGTTGACTTACAGATACTTATAGGTAGTTACTACCTATAGTGTAGTCACTCATGGGGATGACAGGTTATTCTATTACATCAATTATTAAGTAATTTTGTAAGATTGTGTTGCAAAGACTCTGCAATCTTTAAAATGATTGTCCCATGAGTGGATGTGGCCTTAAGGTCATTGAGCACCTGACTACTTCCCTCCACATATTCCCTCTGTATTCCAGGGGTAAGAAGTAAGTTCCACTTGAACAGCTTCCTCCTGTGAACCACTGCTCTGTGGAACCAACTCCCAAGGAAGTTTCCCTGATCGCTACAATCTTAACCTGTTCAAGTCTAGAGTTAAGCATTATCTTCCTCTCCTATCTGCATAAACTACCCCTTAATGTAACCCCCTACCTCAAGTGGCTCCTGGGCCTTACACAGGGTGAACCTTACTGTAAAAAAAAAAAAAAAAAAAAAAAAAAATTTTTTTTGTTCAGTCATTTTTATAAATTTATGAATAACAAAATTTTTGGTAGTTCTTTATAATATTGGAAATAAATATTAGATCATATAAATATTTCACATATTTTTTCTTATTTTTTAAGTATTTCACCCCAAGCAAGGTTGGAGTGCCACTAGCACACAAGGGGTTACAGAGAGGGAGAGCCAGAGTAAAGAGGGGTTTTTGAGGAAAGGATATAGAGAATGATGGGGATCAGGATCTAGGCATCAGAAGATGTTGATTGACATTACATTTGAATATTTGAGGATTATAGCTGTTAGGGAAGCAAGTAGGAGGAAGTGAGTTCCACTGTTAGGAAGTGCGAAAGAAGAGGCTGTTGGAGTAGAAGAGGTGGTTACATATAACTGTTTCAACAGTAAAAGGGTGGGACCGAGTTGCCAAACTGGTAGCACGCTTAAATTCCTGCAGTTGGGGTACCAGTGAAAGTAGCTCGTCAGAGCAGTTGCCATGAAAATATTTGTAGAAAAGACAGAGGGAAACCACATCAGGTCTGTGAGAAAGTGACTGTAGATGAGATGCAAGATCAGGACCTAACACATTACATACCCGTCTCTGGATTTTATTGAGGACTTTGAGATGAACAGCGAGGGCACTAGACCATATATGGCAACAGTATTCAATTATCTTGTAAATATAAAATTATTCTTGTAAACAAACTGTCTAATAAATAAATAGTGTTTAATATTTTTGTTGTCAATTCTTGAGAAAAAAGAAAATGCATAAAATTAGGTTCATATGTTTGGAGTTTATTAAAATTCTAAAAATATCTTTTTCAAAACAATAAGAATTATCAAAGGAGTATAAAAATATGCGAACCAATTACAACACAATTTTTATTATTTACGTATTACAAGTTTTTTTATTCATTAATTTATAAAAATGTCTGTGAACAGGAAAATTAACTTAATTATAAATTTAAAAAAAAAATGCAATTTGCAAACATTGCTCTCAACACAAAAATTAACTAAAATAGATTGCAAGCATCTGGATTTATACTTTTCTTTTTCTTGTGAACTGATAACAAAAATGTTAAATACTATTTATTAGACTGTTTATTTACAAGGATAGCATTTAACATTTTTGTTGTTAATTCTCAAGAAAAAACATTTTTAAAACAATAAAAACTACCAAGAGTGTATACAGAAAGATCAGTGTCCAATAATAGTGGTGCCAACGAAAAAAGTGTCCCTTTGACACACCATCTTTTGCCATATATATATATATATATATATATATATATACCAACACAAGGACTGACCAAAATTAATGATAAAAAAGAAATGAAAACTACAGATAAAGAAATTCACTTTCTTCGGAAACAGTCATTCACTCCTGTAGTTCACTGCTACTAAATAAGCAGGGATTTTTTTTCTGATGATGATGGCCAAGGAACCTAATTGAAATAATAAAACAAAAAAATATTAATATATAACCCAGTCTGAAAATTTTAATTTTAAAATTTTTTTTAATATTTTTTATTGTTCAAAACAGATATCATTAGAGTAAATGAAAGTTTTAATGTATTTATAATTTATTCCTGTAAACATTTCCAAGTGTAATTAATAATAATAGAACTTTGCCAGATTTTTTAAGTATTCATTCTGGTATGTGCAGTAAACATTTTCATATCAACCAATCAAAAGTCATTTTCATATCAACCAATCAAAAGTAATTTTCAACTCAATTAATCAAAAGTCTGTTTTCAACAACCACATGAATTTAAGCATACTTTTAGATTGGCAACTAGGTCTTATCATTTTACTGTTGAATTAGCTGAGATATAACCATATGTTCTATTCTAATAGTTTCTGTTTCTCAGACTTCTCGCTTGTGGAACTCTCTTCTGTTTTCTTGCTCCCTCGCCACCTACAATCTTCAAAAATTTAAATGCAACATCAATCACAATCTTCTGTCTTTGTGAATCCTATTCTTTTATTTTTTTCCTTTCTCCAACTTCAATATTTTTCATAAAATAACCAAGCTAGTCTTGTTGACTTCTTACTGGTGAATAGTGAGTTCAATTCTCACTGGGTACTCCATACAATATTTGATGCTGAACGACCCAACAACAATTAACATATTGCAAAATCAACCCACCACACCAAAAATGAAATTTCTGATTTTCCTTCTCCCAGGTGCAATGGTTATTATAATAACTGAATTTAAATGTTAGTATATTTCCCAAAGGTGTTATCGTCTCTTCTCCTTACTAGATAGATGTTAATAGCAGGGCAGACTGATGTAATGGAATAACCTGTCACCCCTATGTGCGACTACACTATAGATAGTAACTGCCTATAAGTCAATGGACTACAGAGTCTAGCTGTGATCTGTTCCAGCTAAACAGTCAAACTCTCTACCTTCGAGCAGGGAGAAACCTGGACGAGGCTCCGCCAAAGAGCAGAGTCTTGTTCGGGGATGTTGACTGACCCTGAACCCATTTATACAGGTTCAAAAAGGGAATATTTTTTGCCGAGCCTACAGGCTCGGAGAACCCACGTTAAACCGGCCTTGTGCCACATGCAACCCTCGTAGGTAGGGGGGTAGCTAAATATACTAGCTGCGATCTGTTCCAGCTAAACAGTTGAACACTCTGCCTTTGGGCAGAGAGGAACCCGGACGAGGCTCCGCCAAAGGGCAATCTCATTCGGGGAGGTTGACTGAAAAAGGGAATATTTTTGGCCAAGCTGAGATCTGTTACTCAGATTTTAGCTGTTATCGAACTCTCTGCCTTGGAGCAGAGAGGAAACCGAACAAGACTATGCCAAAGGGTAGAGACTCGTCCGGTGAGGTAGATAGACCTGAACCCGTTTATGCGGGATTACGAAGAATTTTTGGCCAAGCCTACGGGCTTAGAATGCCCCACATTAAATTCGGCCTTGTGCCACATTCTACCTCGTGGGGAGGCTGGTAAATATTGTCTAGCTAGGATCTGTTGAGTATGACTCAGACTTATGCGAGAACTACCAACCTTCCAATAGTAGCACTCACTACTGACTTGCGACAACCTTGTGCATAACTGTTACTTTTATTTTTATTGTACTGGTTTTTACAATAAACCTTTACTTATTTTATCCACCATGTTTTTCAAGTATATATTCCTATTAGCACGGAATATAATACTGACTGAGCTTTCCAGCCTTGATTGGCAACCACTCTAGGTGAAGAACAACTCTGAACTGAAAACCAGTTAGTCATAGGGCTAGCAACCCCACCCTGTGTGGTACAATAAGTCCCCCCCATATGACTGGCTGAACAGACACAAAGTCAAGTGGGCCCTAAATGAAATTATCAGAGTCAGGAGTGTTGGGCTTTTTTTACAGCTGGTTTTTGTTTGATTCATTTTCTAAGGCTTATCAAACCTATGCAGGTTGTTTAAAGCCAGAAAATATTTTTAGATTGTAAGAATTTTTTTTTTTTTTAAATAATAATGGTTTAGTGATACAAGTCTTACTAATTAACCCATAGCTGAAGGGAAAAAGGTGGATTCATACCTTCTCCAAGGGTATTTGTGCATAAGTGAATATAACAAACCTGAGGGGAATTAGAACTCAGCTCTACAATTAACAATTCTAATCCATTATCCACTGCCCCACCCACACATCCAAACAAACTTACAGCATCTAGTATTCCCAAGCGGTCACCCATCTAGGTACTGGCCAGGCCTGACATTGTTTAACTTTGTTGATCATAGGGGAACTGGTGTTTCAACGTGATGTAGCTTTTAGCCTATTATACAACTCACACATCCAAACTTACAGCAACTGGTATTCCCTAGCGGTCACCCATCTAAGTACAGATCAATTTCAAGATTGCTCAACTTCGGTGATGATATGGGAAGCTACGTTTCAACATGATGTGGCTGCAAGCACTTTATGGCTGGAAGACAAAGTCTTTGAAATTGAGGGTTGAAAGAAGCAGCCCACTTGAGCAAAGGGGAAAGAAATAATAAAGAAATAAATGAAAAAGTGGCACTTCATCAAAAACTAGATGTTTCCACTAGCCAGCCTTAATATTATCATTTTCATTCACAGATGGAGAAAAATAGCCTCCATTTTGGGATTAATCTTGCACAAAGCAAGATGGATCCTGCTTGACAAAGTGATTTGTCATAATGATTTGATCTTCCCAACTCAGACACTCATGGTAGTCCTAGTACACTGAGCCTTTTTATCGAAACATATCTCTCAGAAGGTTGCCTTTCAAGGCTTGCCTTTGTGCATTTTAAAAACTATATATATATATATATATATATGTGTGTGTATGTATGTATATATATATACACATACAGAGAGAGAGAGAGTCCATCCCAAAAATGTATACACACTTCAGAAAAGGAAAAACTATAGATATTGTAATATTAAGTTTATTCAGACACACACAAGATTAATACAAGTTAGCTTTGGACTCTACAATCAAAAGATATGCTCAAAATTGTGACCTTTAGCTCCCCGACATCTAGCAGACACATGTTTGTGGAAAATTTATCAAGACGAGAGAAAAAGTATTCTGTGGTAACATCTGCTAAAATGCATGAAACCTACAAGTCATATTTCGGTATGACTTTCAGGAGTCAAGACAAACCCTGGGAACATCATTTCACTTGTGATCTATGCAAAAGAATTCTAATTTTGCTTATTTCAGATAGTAGATTTTTAAGTGTAAAAGTTTTGTTTTTAATTTAAATATTTTTCTTTTATTTTTTTTAAACCAGTGTTATTGAAATATACATATTAAATATGTTTCAACAATTGTGCATTGGTGTCCACAGTATTACGGATATTTTCTATACTGAATCACTGACAGGATCCATAAAAATATGGAATATCAGGGATGTTCAGTATTCAAGGTTCTGTATTTTTGTGGTATTTGATACATTAATTAGGGTTACTTGTATCAATTGTATTCTGATCACAAAAGCAAAGTTTGAAGGAAATATTAGCCATTTTTCATAAACATAAGCAAATGGGAAATAACAGTTGCTACCCAATGAAAAAAATTGTGTTACACAGTGTAATAAATAACATTTTTTCTTCACTATCATCAACAGATACTATATGTAGAAATGAAATCAGCCTTGGGGTCAAGGTCTGTAAACCTTTCAAAAGATACCCTATGTAGAGCATTACATAAGCATTCTCAGATTAACTTTCAAGTAAAGTTCTTTAAACTTTCATAAGAGATTGGATTATCAAAAGATACCATATGTAGAGCATTATATAAGATTTCTAAAATTAGCTTTGGAATAAAGTTCTAAAAACTTTCAGAAGAGCTCAGATCATCAAAGTATATCATATGTAGAACATTACATAAGCTTTATGCAATTAGCTTTGGAATAAATGTCTGTAAACTTTGAGAAGAGCTAGGATCATCAGAGATGCTATTGCATTGGATGCAAACATCCGTTCTCTTGTATGAAAACCAGAAATTATTTGCAAAAACAAAAAAAAAACATTTAACTGCTGTCGTCGGTCTATGAAAAGAAAAACTTTATGTCAAAATAAATACAGCCATATATCAGTAAAAGAATCAGCTCCATTGCAACAAGCTGATCCCTAAGTGTGAATTTGTACCTAATTCATGTGTAATGAGCTTCTTGTGTCTATCAACTTCACATAGCTTTAATGTTAATTTCCAGCACGATTTGTTATTTTTCTAATTAATTTCTAAATGTTTATAGTATAAACTTTATATAGTAGGCATTTACCAAGCTCCCCACAAAGCAGGATGTGGCACAAGTCCGATTTTTATGTGGGGCGAATCTATGCTCATAGGTTCAGGTAAAAATTCCCTGTAGACCCCGCATACACGGGGGTCAGGTTTGTCTACCTCTCCAGACGAGACTCTACCCTTCGGCATATCCTCGGGTCTGGGTTCTTCTCTGCTCAACAGCATAGAATTTGACAAGTGTGCAAACTGCCTGACTGAAACAGCTTTAATAAACTTTATAAACTTTATACAGTAGTGAACCGAACAGTAAATGTAATCAACAAATTACAAAAACCAAATTTATATTTTGTACATTACCTCAGTTTGCATGTTGTAAATACAGTGGGTAGCTTTTTGGGGATATGTATTTTGGCTGCACCAATGCAATATTGATTGGCTGGATTTTGTTTTTATTTTATGACTTTTCATAACTGGTCATACATCATGGGTCATTAAACAGGTAAGTCATAAGCGAGAAGTTGTATAAAACAGGTGTAAACTTAACTTTAGCAATAACGTTCTGTTAAAAGTACTTCCAAGGTGGGTGACCAATTCATTTTTTTTTTTTTTTTAAATTCAACTCTTATATTCTGTGTAGACAAAATGGAATAAGGGTCTCTACAAAAGAAGTAACTATTTCAAAAATGTTCTCATTCATAAACTTAAATTATAAAGAAGGTCTGTAAATACTGAAGCTTTGTGTATAAAATCAGAGTTTAGGAACAACTTCACAAAAAAAAGAAAGAAATACAATATAGACATAGATGAAAAAGACAGATTTTAGGTATTTTCAGATAATAAAAAAAATTTGTCTCCTAAAAAAAAAAAAAGAAAAATAATCAACCAATTTCAACAATCTGGTTTCACAGTTTATTTTTGCTTTTGTAATTAAAATTAAAAACAGATGTGAAAGTGGTGTAATGGATATCAGCATGAAATGAGAAATTGGAGAGCCGAGTTTGAATTCCAATCGGGTTCATTACATTTACCTAGATGCAAGGGAAAGGTATGAACCCATCTCTTACCCTCCAGCTATGTATTGAATAACAAGACAGACTGTGGCCTATAGCCTTGGTTGGCAACCAGTCTACTGCAGAAAAAAATTGCAACGTATGGTGGGAAACTCTTCTGCCTAGTCAGTCCTGAATCGAAAAAGACATGATCACCTAAACGTGTATCACATGATGGCACTTATGACTGAATTTAAAAATAAGGACTTTCTTGAAATTTCAGTAAAAAATTATTCATGCTTAAAAAGCAAATTTTACTTTTATGTGTAAAAAACAAAACAAAAGCAATGAAGTAAAAAAAAATCCACCTGTGACCACAAAACAATGTTTGAGCGAAATTAATGGACGAGGAAAAAAAAAGTTATCTAAAAGTGACTTTTTAGGTATGTGCAAAAATTCCCAGCGATCTTTTTTTTTTTTAAAGCCCAAGATGAAATACACCACAAACAGTAACACTGTCGAAAACCAGTTTTCTGTTGGAATCTTTTGCACAAACAATCATGATACATCTTTTTGGGGTGATTTTTAAATAAAACTTTAAATTGTTTTCCTCATTGGCTGTTTGTTAGTCTTTTAATAGCTTATTTAAAATTTCACAAGATGCAAAAAAAAAATGACTTTCATTAGAATTTTAAACATTTTTATTTTACTACATACAATCACAAACCTAAATTCAGTGCCTGTGACTCCCCCCATCCCGACCTCAGTTGTGCTACTTATTGGTCTTGTTTTCAGTGCGTTTTATGGGTCACGTGCTCAATTAAAACCGAATATCACTCCCCCAACTCTGCCAAAAAAAAAAAAAAAATCTTTCTTGTTTAGTACTGATGGTTCAATCGTGAAAGAGTTCACAAAATTCTAAAAGTTTTTTGGTGTTTTTTTTTTAAATAAAAGTATAAATAATCACGTTACGAGACCCAGTATTTATCAAATATAAAAAAATTGTCACGAATTATCTTGATTTTAACTTGAGGGCTGAAATGGTTTTTTTAAAAAGAAACCAGATGAGAGGAAAAAATATGATATTGCAGAATTTGTCAGTGACCGATAGACTCCTTCCTTTCTATTTTTTTTAATTAATGACAGTGTAACAGCAATCACAATTTTGTTTTAAAACTATAGTAAAAAAAATGATACAAAGTTTAGTAACAAAAAAATTATCAAAAGGCTACAATTCTATCTTTTTAGGTGGCTTTTTTTAACGTAAACAGTGAGTAAAGTAAACTTAAACACTTATTTTTATTTTTAGCAGTCATACGGCAAATTCAATTGTTGGGGAGTTTCATACCAAGCAGAATTATTAAATTCATAATTATTCAATTCTGACTGTTGTATGACTGATATTATTATTAATAAATAATACAAGGCCTTCATTCTGTAGCGCCTGAGGCGAGCTGAAGAGAATTCAGTTCATTCAAAACCACCTGGTTGTTATTGTCTACAATTGTTTTTTAATTATTCTTTCACTGAATAAAATAAAATGAATAAATAAAATACGGATCATTGTTCTTCCTCAGAAATTCATTAAAATAACTTGGGTGTTTTTTTTTTAGGGGGGGGGTACTAAAAAAGCATTTACTTTTTCGCTTTTTAACCTGACACACTTTTCTTTTAGAGAGCCTTTTCAAAGGACCTGTGAACTACGTAAAAGAGATTTGTTTTTTTTTACTTTTTATTTGTCGGTGAAATTGCCTATCACTTACGTCAGCCAAAATATTTTTATTAATCCTTTGTAATCTTTAAGGTCAGAAGTCACTGTCATTACCAACAAATTAAATAATACAAAAAACATAACAGAAAATACGCCCAAGTAATTGCAAATGGTCAGAGGACGTATGGGTCTCTCTGGCTAGGAAAATAATGCCGGCACCTGCTAGCAAGTGGATCAATAAGAAGCTTCATCACTCGTTTATTCGTTTAAATAAAAAATTAAGATTTTAAGGAATCAGTCATTACTTAAAGTAAGAAAAAAAATAACAAGATATATATTTTA